CCTTGCCGAGGCCCGGGAATTGGTTTTGAGTTTGACCTAAGCGAACGTTCATTACTGGGTTCTGGGTCCCGCAAATTATTGCGCACATCTTAGTCTGGGCGCGTTAAATTTGTGGTCAAATCGAGGGCCTTTGTGACAGATCCCTTTCTTAGCAAAGCCTTATTCCAGCCAACAACTTAACAATTCAACAATGAGTGCTGATCTGGCTCTACAATATGAGATAGCTGCCAACTCACCTCTACAAAGCTGCATTCCCAGACCAATCAAGAAACTCCTATATGTTCTGACGGTCAGTACCAGAAGGGTTGGCCGCTTGGGTCACCAGGGCTTGGAGCCAGATCAGCACTCATCGTTGAATTGGTTTGCTGCTAAATAGGAATTGCGAAGAACGGGAAGATGTCACAGTGAGGCGCTGACAGTTGTTGAAAGCATTTGGTAATGCCCTTTTGACAGGTCCAGATTTCCAAATCCTGAAAAAGCGATGCAAACAAACCGGGTGGTGGAGAGTGCGTGCTGATGGAAAAGCATATCCGGCTTAGCATGGCTTAGCTATGCGACATATTTAACAATGAGTCCTGATTTGGCTCTACACTATGGGTAGCTGCCAAATCACCTCTACAAAATGCATTCGACTCTCCAGGCCAACCAAACTTTACGTTCCTGGTTTGTACTGGAGGGTTGTTAGCTCGCTTGAACCCATGGATTTCGACAACAATCATTCTGTCCCATCAGCCCTACAAAATGCATTCTCCATGGACTATCCACAACTCGCTTTGTCTCCTAGCTTCCACAAACAAACTATTCATCAATCTGAAACCTTTGTTGTTTGGCACATCCTGTAAGGAACACTGTATACTGGCTCCAAAGGGAAAAATATCCGGACTTGCATGGATGCAAGTATGCTCAAGCAAGGCAAGTTTTTCATGGTGGGACCTTTTTAGTCAAAGGTTTTCAGGCAAAGGCAAACACCTTTTGGATGGGCAGACCATTTGAACAACTGTTTCTGACAGGTCCTTGGGGTGACGAAGTCGAAGTCGACGGATCAAGCAAGAGAAATTTGTCCGTGCAACCAATGGCCAATTGTGCTTGAAGATCGACCAAGAACATTTTGTTGGGATACAACTGTGTCATCACTTTCTATATCTTTCTATCGACATGTGTCTCCTGGATGCGATGGATGGATGGATGGATGGAAGGAAGGATGGATGGACGGATGGACGGATGGACGGATGGACGGATGGAGGGATGGAGGGATGGAGGGATGGAGGGATGGAGGGATGGAGGGATGGAGGGATGGATGGATGGATGGATGGATGGATCTATGTATGTATGTCTAAACGTTTGTATGTTTGTATGCCTGTGTATTTCTGCATTTGTTTGTATCTGTCTATCTCTGTCTCGGAATGGAATGGAATGATGGATGGATGGATGCATGTATGCAATGGATGGATGGATGGATGTATGCATGGATGGTAATGTAATGTAATGTAATGCCAATGCTCCAAGTGCGTTTAACAAATTTGACAATCACCCTAAACGCCCAACCCTGGATAGGAAGAGGAGCTATGCAAGTTCCTTTCGAAGCTGAAGGCAGAGCTGAAGGCAGAGCATCATCGCTTTCCTTTGCCAAAGAATCCATCACCGTCGAAGTCCGTGTGTGACACTCCAGAGACGGCAAAGTTGGCGCCCACCTGGCATGTTTCAATCTTTTTGTTTCCAGATAAAGAGCTGGCCTGCCATCAAGATACATCAAGGCAAGTGACAACTGCACTGATCTGCATGTCACTGCATTTCCAGGTATCCGGAAAGTTTGGTCTCGACTCCATACCTGGAGTCTGATCCCAAGGAGCTATCTTTGAGTCTGAATATACCCGCCTCCATAGCAGTTGCTGAATCAATGCAATCCAAGAGTGGGCAAGAGATACTAGTAGAGATTCAAGATGCATCAAGATACTACCATGTCGTGCAATGCGAGAGTTCATAGGCTGACAGGCTGACAGGTTGTGTCAGTGACGGCCAGCTACTATATAATTCTCCTTCCACCTGGCCCAGTTCGCATTTGGTCCTTGCATTTCACATGCTTCCACAAATGGGATTCCACAGACTGTGCGTGATTGCGGCATGATGTGCTTCGGGTGGCCGTACTCACGCTCGAAGCACACTGAATTAGCTGAGGTGGAAAAGCCCTGGCTCACAAGGTAGGACGGAACAGCTGCTGCTATTGCTGATGTTGATGGAAGACACGCGAACACAGATATTCCACATTTTGACGCATATGCTGTCTGAAAGTGTCACAACACAGTGATACGTTGACCTAGCTTGGCGAGCACACCATCACTTGCAGTAGTGGGGTCAAGATTTACTCCATCGTAGCCAAAAAGGATGCTGCTCTGTGTAATTATGTGACTTTAAGTGGACTTGGACATTGGACACTTCACCAAGACTCCCCGAAAGACACACGTTTTCACCTGGAGCCTTGTCGAAGTCACACAGAATCGATTCATTTCACGTCGTTTTTCTATCCTGTTCGAATCTGTTCGACCGGTTTTGTTTATGTTATTGTTTTTTTTCCTGGCCACGCAGTCCAAAGTGAGAGATCGCATCGACCGGCCGTGTGACCTGTTCGTCACTGTTCGTCGTTGCTAGAGTCCGTTCGCCCAGCTCGGTTTTCCAAAAAATAATGCAGACCGCTTCCAGCGCTTGAAGCAGCTCGAAGTTCGAGGAGCGGAAACGAAAGAGCAAAAGGCAAAAGGATTTGGGTTCGTAAGGTTTTGCGTTGAACCTTTGTGTTTCAGGTTAGATGAGAATTGAGACTGAGACGTCGTTTCATAAGGAGTCATAAGGATTTTGGTTGATAGCATCAGTGCGCATCAGCACCAGACGTTTAGATTTGGGTGTTGGACCTGGAGTTTTGCTGTGAGGATCACAAGGACACGCAGCGCGTACAGATCTTGGAGGGCTTGCAGCGGCCTTAGGATTGGATTCATACCATGATTCATCATTTGCACAGCTGGCACAGACCTTCCCTGAGGTCAGCACGGTGAGGACAGAGGATGTGCCGTTGCGAGCCTTGTGGAAAGAGTTCCAAGCCTTCGAAACTCTGGAACCAGCGCCCGTACCTGCGGTGCCCACGGTGCCTCCGGCCTCGACACCAGCCCCGAAGCCACGCTTGCCATGTATGGTGAATTTGGAAAAGCAAGAGAAGCACTTGGAGCAGATGAACATCCTCTTGAATCGCATGGAGGATCTTCAACCATGTCCTGGGACCCCTCCGCTGCTTCAGAATCTTCAGATGCCATCACTTGGAACACCACCGCTCAAAGAACAGCCGTGCCAAGCTCATACATGCCCTGCAAGCTCAAAGGAGGACAGGTGCCTCAGCAGTTGGTACTATTCAATACATATCACTGTATTGAAGGGCTCAAGACAGATAGGCTGCTAGGTTTTCTTGGAGGAGAACCGGACGCACGTTTATTGATGTCAACTTGTGAGGATTAGCTCGGGCCAATTGTTTTTTGATGCAAATTGTTCAATTGATGTTTGTTCACTCAAAATGCGAATGTCTTTGCAAATCGTGCACCTGAATTCGCCAGGACTTGGGTACGCCGAGCTCCTGTTTGAGGCCATTTGTTTCTATTCACTTGGGGTCAAAGGGGAGATGGTCTCGCTACAGGTCTGTGGGTCAACCCCCCTCATGGTAAAGAGCTCTTAAACCTGCACGAAAACTAAGCGAGCTTCCTTGGATATGTTCACCCACGGTGGACTCCACGGTCGTTTTCGGTCTAGGCTTTGACATGGGACACAGCCATGTCACCGTTCCCCACAGCCGCCCCAAGTCGCAGCCAAACTGGCACGTCTTGCGTCGCTTCAAACGAACTCTCATGGCGACAAAAAGGACCTTTGGGAACGAAAGAATGAACAAACTCAAGGTGTCTTTGCTTGCAGGAGAGCTCGCAGCAGGCTATCCCAGTTGCGGCAGGGCCTCAACACCTGAGAGAGGCTTGCTGGCCTTCGTTGCGAGTGCTTCGTCACTGGCCATATTTTTTTGGTGTGGCAGATGCTTGCACCGCTCCACTGCTCCAAACGTGAAGATCACACCGAACGTGAAGATTTCTCGCCATGCAGATCACAAGCATGAGATTTTTTTTCTTGATTGTACATCCAGAAGATGTGGCTGTTGGGTAATGGCACTGTACATACTGCTAGCTTTGTGTGCCACTGCCTGCTCCACGCGGCGCACATGCCTAGACCTGTGGGGGAGCACAGTTCTGTGTCCAGATATGGGGGTGGCTGTTCAGGCATGGGGAAGAGCAGGCAAAAGGACAGCACAGCGATCTGAATGCCCCTGCACTGATGCTTTGGTGGACAGTGCATTGGCCACCACCGATTCCTCATACGTCTTGGAATGTTTGCATTGAAGCCAGCTGATTCGACCCCTGACGCCGTTCGTGCGCTGGCCAGATATACCAAAAGCGGCAGTAGACCCAAACCTCACCATGGTCTTGCAATCTGGCAGTAGCAATGCAACGACAGCAGAGACGACCAGAGACAAGGCCACAAGAGTAAACCTGCCTGATCCTCTTTCACAGCACAGTATACACATTCTTTCCAGCTGTGATCTTTTTTACTGTAGAACAACACACGTGCAGCACTTGGTCGTTTCCTGTTGGCGCCGTGACATCGGGCGATGATGCCAATCGCACTGGGATAGTCGCACCTCGAAAGCTGCCCTGAGCTCAGGTCGCATGTAGCATGTCACTGCACACCGGTCTTCTACAGATCAACTACTAGTTGTAGCCTGTAACTGTAGCCTTTATTTTCCCAGACAGTTCTTCTCATACATCCATTCGCTTGGATTTCAAGCCACTTTTCCACTACACCATGGCACTCGGATCAGGCCGATGCTTCTGGAGTGCAGGGACATGGGATGTTGCAGCAAGCTCAGCCCATTTCGATCGAACCTCCTTCGGAGCTGCGAGATCTGCAAACACTTCCAGGTGATGTCAGAGTACTTCAGGAAGCTTATCAAGCCACTGAGTTGAACATAGTTGAACTGTTGCTGGTGGTCTCTTTGCCTTCCAAGGGCACCAGAAAAATGCCAATCCAATCTACAAGCTCCAAAAGAAATCCTCCAATCCTTTGGACAGCGGGTGAAAGCGGGTGACTTGGTCCTTCCACTCCGCAGGTCCCTGGACCAACACACCCACACACCTATTGAACGTCAAGCATGCCCTTTGATACTAGTAGCCTCCTTGTTACTAGTAGTAAGGCAGCGTCCTTGCTCCTAGTAGCGATGCTTGTCATTACTAGTAGCGTACTTGTTACTAGTAGTAAGGCCAGGAGCCACTAGTAGCGTCCTTGCTCCTAGTAGCGATGCCCTTTACTAGTAGCCAGGAGCCAACTAGTAGCGTCCTTGCTCCTAGTAGCGATGCCCTT